ATTATCTGAGATCAATCGCATATTGATAATTAAAATAAACGGTGTTACAAAAATGTGTTTCCATGGATTTTTTCTTTTTATTTTACATCTGCAAAATCCTCATAAAATGTTAAATAAAATGCTCCGCAGGGCGCAGCTTGATACGACCGCAGAGGTCGAACCCTGAACAGTTGGGGCAAGTATGGACACAACATTCAAGCTTGATACAGCTCTGAATTTGGATTGTGATTAAATATTTGACACAGCATAGGTTTCTGACACAGAATGAATGTGGTCTAAGAACTTAAAAATTTTAAATTGGACATTCACCTATTATGGTCCAATATCCAAAATCTAAATACATGGTTAGATTCAGCATATGAAAGAACCCCAAGAATTCAATTTTTGATGAAATCAAACAAAGTTTAATTTTGGACCCTTTTGACCTCAATGTGGACAAAGTTGATAACGGGGCCCAAAAATCAAAAATCTAAATACATGGTTAGATTCAGCATATCAAAGAACCCCATATATTCAATTTTTGTTGAAATCAAACAAAGTTTAATTTTGGACCCCGATTTGGACCAACTTGAAAACTGGGCCCATAATCAATAAAATGCTTCGCTGGGGCGCAGCTTGATACGACCGCAGAGGTCGAACCCTGAACAGTTGGGGCAAGTATGGACACAACATTCAAGCTTGATACAGCTCTGAATTTGGATTGTTATTAAATATTTGACACAGCATAGGTTTCTGACACAGAAAGAATGTGGTCTAAGAACTTAAAAATTTTAAATTGGACATTCACCTATTATGGTCCAATATCCAAAATCTAAATACATGGTTAGATTCAGCATATGAAAGAACCCCAAGAATTCAATTTTTGATGAAATCAAACAAAGTTTAATTTTGGACCCTTTTGACCTCAATGTGGACAAAGTTGATAACGGGGCCCAAAAATCAAAAATCTAAATACATGGTTAGATTCAGCATATCAAAGAACCCCATATATTCAATTTTTGTTGAAATCAAACAAAGTTTAATTTTGGACCCCGATTTGGACCAACTTGAAAACTGGGCCCATAATCAATAAAATGCTTCGCTGGGGCGCAGCTTGATACGACCGCAGAGGTCGAACCCTGAACAGTTGGGGCAAGTATGGACACAACATTCAAGCTTGATACAGCTCTGAATTTGGATTGTTATTAAATATTTGACACAGCATAGGTTTCTGACACAGAAAGAATGTGGTCTAAGAACTTGAATTTTTTTAATTTACCTATTATGGTCCAATGTCCAAAATCAAAATACATGGTTAGATTCAGCATATCAAAGAACCCCATATATTCAATTTTTGTTAAAATCAAACAAAGTTTAATTTTGGACCCCAACTTGGACAAACTTGAAAACTGGGCCCATAATCAAAAATCTAAACACATGTTTAGATTCAGCATATCAAAGAACCCCAAGAATTCAATTTTTGCTAAAATCAAACTAAGTTTAATTTTGGACCCTTTGGACCTTAATGTAGACCAATTTAAAAAACGGGACTTAAAATTAAAAATCTAAATACACGGTTAGATTTGGAATATCAAAGAACCCCAATAATTCAATTTTTGATGAAATCAAACAAAGTTTAATTTTGGACCCTTTTGACCTCAATATGAACCAATTTGATAGCGGGGCCCACAAATAAAAAATCTAAATTCATGGTTAGATTCAGCATATCAAAGAACCCCATATATTCAATTTTTGTTGAAATCAAAAAAAGTTTAATTTTGGACCCCAACTTGGACCAACTTGAAAACTGGGCCCATAATCAAAAATCTAAACACATGTTTAGATTCAGCATATCAAAGAACCCCAAGAATTCAATTTTTGTTAAAATCAAACTAAGTTTAATTTTGGACCCTTTGGACCTCAATGAAGACCAATTTAAAAAACGGGACCCAAATTAAAAATCTAAAAACACGGTTAGATTTGGCATATCAAAGAACCCCAATAATTCAATTTTCGATGAAATCAAACAAAGTTTAATTTTGGACCCTTTTGACCTCAATATGAACCAATTTGATAGCGGGGCCTACAAATAAAAAATCTAAATACATGGTTAGATTCAGCATATCAAAGAACCTCATATATTCAATTTTTGTTGAAATCAAACAAAGTTTAATTTTGGACCCCAATTTGGACAAACTTGAAAACTGGGCCCATAATCAAAAATCTAAATACATGTTTAGATTCAGCATATCAAAGAACCCCATATATTCAATTTTTGTTGAAATCAAACAAAGTTTAAATACTGGACCCTATCTTGGACCAACTTGAAAACTGGGCCCATAATCAAAAATCTAAACACATGTTTAGATTCAGCAAATCAAAGAACCCCAAGAATTTTAATTTTGGACCCTTTGGACCTCAATGTAGACCAATTTAAAAAACAGGACCCAAAATTAAAAACCTAAATACACGGTTAGATTTGGAATATCAAAGAACCCCAATAATTCAATTTTAGATGAAATCAAACAAAGTTTAATTTTGGACCCTTTTGACCTCAATATGAACCAATTAGATAACGGGGTCCACAAATAAAAAATCTAAATACATGGTTAGATTCAGCATATCAAAGAACCCCATATATTCAATTTTTGTTGAAATCAAACAAAGTTTAATTTTGGACCCCAATTTGGACCAACTTGAAAACTGGGCCAAAAATCAAAAATCTAAATACATGTTTAGATTCAGCATATCAAAGAACCTCATATATTCAATTTTTGCTAAAATCAAACAAAGTTTAATTTTGGACCCTTTGGACATTAATGTAGACCAATTTGAAAACTGGACCCAAAATTAAAAATCTAAATACACTGTTAGATTCGGCATAACAAATAAATAAATGTGATCAAAGATTTTACAAATCTAATGCGCCATACTGTGCAATTAAAGATTACTTCTTGAAATTTTTCAATATTTGAAATTTGAAAAAAAAATAATATTTGAAGAATAATTCTTTTTAATTTCTGAAATCTGAAATGAGAAAAAATTGGCCCCCCACAATTTCTTTTTATCCTCCCCCCCCTTTTTCCCCCAAAAAAATTCTTTCCCTCAAGATATGGTCATAATCTCAATTCAAATTTCCAATGGAGTTGGCAACCATAATTACCCATTTAAATTTACCATAGTGCTAACTTAATCTATTTTATAATAGAATTAATAAAAATATAGTGTCAAATCTTTCATATGGATTTTTTTGTAAAAAAAAAAGATGAAAACATTTGCAGATGTTTTTACTGGTCTTCCTTTATAAATATGCATTTCTTTAAACATAATTTAAAAGCAGTGTAAGGGAAGTAACCAAAACGTTGTATTTGGATTACCTCCCTTACACTGTTTTAGATTATCTTTATTGTTCATTAACCATTACTTTATACATAATTTAAAAGCAGTGTAAGGGAGATAATTTCAATGATGTATTTGATTTATCTCCCTTACACTGCTTTAAATTATGTTTTGTACTAAAGTATTTGTCCATTAACCAGGACAACCTTGTTTTTCCCCCTTTTTTGCCCCTAATTCCTAAACGGTTTGAGCCATAACCCCCCAAAGCAAATCCTAACCATCCCTTTGTGGTATGGAAACTTGTAGTATAATTTCAGAGAGATCCATACACCGTTCCACAGTTATTGTCTGGAAACTAGAAAATGCTCATTTTTGGCCCCTTTTTGGCCCCTAATTCCTTAACTGTTGGTACCATAACCCCCAAAATCAATCCCAACCTTCCTTTTGTGGTATTTAACCTTATGGTCAAATTTCAAAAAGATCCATTCACTTAAACTAAAGTTAGAGTGCGAAAACCAATATGTATTCGGACGACGACGCTGGACGACGACGACGACGACGACGACGACGACGCCAACGTCATACCAATATACGACCACAAAATTTTTTTGCGGTCGTATAAAAATCTAAATACATGTTTAGATTCAGCATATCAAAGAACCCTAAAAATTCAATTTTTGTTAAAATCAAACTAAGTTTAATTTTGGACCCTTTGGACCTTAATGTAGACCAATTTGAAAACGGAACCAAAAATTAAGAATCTAAATACATGGTTAGATTCGGCATATCAAAGAACCCCAATAATTCAATTTTTGATGAAATCAAACAAAGTTAAATTTTGGACCCTTTGGACCTCAATGTGGACCAATTTAAAAACGGGGCCCAAAATCCAAAAACTTAATACACGGTTAGATTCAGCATATTAAAGAACCCCAAGAATTCAAGAATAAAACCCCATTGAAATTGATCAAGAAATAAGCAATTTATACATAGTATCTTCTTTTGCACAATACTGTGCAATTGAATATTTCTTGCTATTGCGCAATACTGTACAATTGACAATTTCTTGCTATTGAGCAATATTGTGCTATTGGATATTTCTTGCTATTGCGCAATACTGTGCAATTGAAGATTTCTTGCTATTGCGCAATACTGTGCAATTGAAGATTTCTTGCTATTGCACAATACTTATTATATAATAATTTACACATCCTGTTTGGTGTGTATCTCCTACCATATCATTATTATTTGCTTTTAAATATAAATCAGAAATAACCAACTTAAAATGGAAAATTTTAAAAGAAAAAAAAAAGAAAAAAAAAAAATCCCCCCCCCCTCCCCCAAATTTTTTGAACCCCTTATGATTCATCACCCCCAAACTCAATCCCAGCCTTCCCTTTGTGGTATGGTACCTTGCAGTACAATTTCAGAGAGATCCATACACTTGAACACAAGTTATTGTCTGGAAACTAGAAAAAATGCTTATTTTTGGCCCCTTTTTGGCCCCCAATTCCTAAACATTTCAGGCAATTACCCCCAAACTCAATTCCAGCTTTCCCGTTGTGATATGGAACCTTGTAGTACAATTTCAGAAATATCCAAACACTTACACACAAGTTATTGTCATGAAACTAGAAAAATGCTTGTTTTTTGCCCCTTTTTTGGCCCCTAATTCCAAAAATTTGAGGCAATTATACCCCCAAAATCAATTACAGCCTTCCTTTTGTGATATGGAACCTTGTGGTACTATGTCAGAGAGATTAATACACTTACACACAAGTTATTGTCTGGAAGTTACAAAAATGCTTATTTTGGCCCCTTTTTGGCCCCTAATTCCTTAACTGTTGGTACCATAACCCCCAAAATCAATCCCAACCTTCCTTTCGTGGTATTGAACCTTATGGTAAAATTTCATGGAGATCCTTTCACTTAAACTAAAGTTAGAGTGCGAAAACCAATGTGTCTTTGGACGACGCCGGACGACGCCAACGTCATACCAATATACGACGAAAAAATTTTTAATTTTTGCGGTCGTAAAAAAATTAATCTTTCTATTTCGCTGGACAACAACTAAGAAACTATATCCCGTCTTTTAAAACTGTATTGAAAATACAAGAATTCGTAAAAACATCATCATCAATTATGGTTACAATCAGAACAGTCATCTAATTTTTCTTTTTTCGGTCTTTGTGTAATACTATTTAGTGTCTTTTTCACACGTAACATTGTTAAACGAGATTTTGGATTCTGTGCCCAACATTCTCTTATTAATATCGTCATCTGTTTTAAAGTCTGAAAAAAAAACATATTTTCGATTAATAACTTCACTTGTGGTGAGTTTACAATTAAATATGTCAAAAACACTTCTGTTTTTGCTATATACAAAAAACTTAACTGTTATGAAATATTTATGTCACAGATGGCCATGGATATGTTCTAATTGTTGTAACCATTATCATGCTTTCTTTTTCTTGACTGTGACATCAGTGAATGAGACTTATAAATGACCTTCAGCAACATGACAGTTGACACTAGTGGAGCAGATCGAGCAGTAACTGCTTACTCTTCCAGAGCACCTAAGATCTATCATATCTTTTGGTGGGTTTCATGTTGCTCAGTTTTTAGTTTTCCATGTATTTTTTTGTGGACTTTACATGGTCTTTTTTTTTGTGTTTTTTAATTTTTGAATGTAAACACGTTTACAAATTTTATCACTTGCTTCAACCTTAATATTATGCATTTATGTGCAACTTTGAAATGTAAATAACATCCCTTTTAATATACAATGCAATAATGTAAACAAACTTATTTTCATGGATACTTTATTTTGCATTTAGCCCTTTCTGGCCCACTTTGCAGCGATTTAATTACTCATTTTCACCTTTATTTGATGTAGTTGAATAAGGAAAGAACCAAATTTTACATATTCAAGACAATTTAAATTTGCGGTATTTTTCTACTCTATTAGTTGGTTTACAGTAAATGCTTTTTAAATAGGAAAAAAAAACCAAAAAATTAACATTGATTGCATAAAGGACTCTTCTTTTTACATGTTCTGCACAATAAGCCCTTTGAGCATCCTTTTTAATGTTGAATGCAATCTCTAATTGTCTACTTAGGTAACTTAAGTTTCTGTCTCATTGACATTAACATCCAATTTTACTTTACTGATATGAAAACAAATATTTGTCGTCAGAAGCTTTGTCAGCTTGAACTATAACTTTTTACTTACTGGATCATAACTCCATCTGTTTGGAATTGCTGGTCTCTGTTGATCAATGACTACAACTTTTTTCATATCTTCAAAGGAAGGATCAGTAGGTACAACATCCCAGAATGGAGGTTTATAATCTTCTATCATTCCTATAGATATAAAAAAATATGTTCACTCATCGCAAATACTAAGTAAAAAGACATATGCAATTGTGTATGAAATTGCAGTGAATAAAACTGTCGTTTTTGCTGATGGGAGTACTGGAAGATCTCTCTCTCTTGGGAAAAATTTAGAATTAAATATTTTTTTCATAGAACTTATTTTGCATTGTGTTCCCATATCTTTAACTTTTGTTTTGTGATTATATCATTAATGTATACAAATTTTGCCAGTAACTACTCAAATGAATCCATGTCATTCATGAAATATTAAGTCAAAACAACATGTCAGATGGCTTGTGCACCTTTTATTGTGTAAAAAATGTTTTATCAGATAATTTGTCAATATTTTCCTTAGGAAAAAATATTTTTTGTATAATAGTGACGGAGAAATTGGAATATTTGTTTTCCTTCAAAAATGGGACACTTGGCCAAGCTGTAATGAAATGTGTTTAAGATATGGATTAAAGAATTTTAAGAAATTGTCACAAGGCTCTTCTCTCTATCTAGAATTTAAACACATCAGCTCAAATCATGTAAACTTATACAGGAATATCCTCAAAATTTGGTTTTTTTTCACAACATAACCACCATGACCATAGTTGGATAAGTTTCTTTTTTGTTTTGTTGTTTGAACATGTAGTTAGCATATAGTACAATGTAGTATAGACATTATTTCAAATGTTTTCCATCACGAGAAAAATTATTTGGCAGGAAAAAAAATTGTGAAAATGGATGGTTTGATTCCCCGTTTTTGCAGTTTATTACTCACCATTTGTGTAACAACGTCTGGTTATTTCCCACAGAACCAGACCAAATGCGTAAACATCCACTGATTTAAATGAATCAAAATAATACACATTTAAAGTTTCATCTAAAAGTTCTGGGGCCATGTAACGTTTGGTCCCAACTTTATTATTACGACCAAGGTCTATTTTATTGTTCTCTTGCGAATGAGTCACTGCTAGACCTAAGTCCCCAATACAACACGTCCCGTCTAATTTAACAAGAATATTTTTAGATTTGATGTCTCTATGTGCAATGGCAGGTTTTCCTTGGTTACCGACTATTTCCGTATGTAGATGAACAAGACCTGCTGCCGCGGATGTTGCCAATAGCAACATGGACTCATGATTCAGCACATTTCTCTGAAGGTAATCATACAATGATCCATGTTCATGGTACTGCATAATCAGCCACAATTGTGTACATGAATTTCTACTTGTCATGTCAGATGCATAATATCCGAGAATATTGTCATGTCGTAGAAGACATGTGTTGTAAATTTCTGTCTCTCGAGCCCAGCTGGCTTCATCACGCGAAGAAAAAATCTTAACTGCCAAACTTTCTCCGTAATAATTTCCACGCCACACTTCACCATATCTTCCTTTACCTGTAATCAAAGAAAATAGACGCATATAATACTTTTGCAAGATAACTATTGGAATCATTAAAACATTTATTGCCACAGGTTGAAATTTTCCAAGCAGACATCATCTTTTCGTTAGATTTAGATAATGGATACCGGGTAGTTAGAAGCTCAATAGTATTTTGAAATTAAGTCATTTAAAAAATGTAAATTAATTGCAACAAAGTGATTTAAACCACATTTAACTGATTTTGAATTTAACAATATATATATATATTTAGAATAGTTTAAAAAACATAAATATTTGTAATCTGAGAATCTGTATACAAAGTTGTAACTTTGCACTCATTGTAACAATTGAAAATAATTTTTGGAGGAATATACAAGGTATATAAAGTGGTCATCTTGATGTTTATAATACAAACTTTGGATTACTTCCCTTTGACTATATTTAACAAATCAGCTATATTCTTCTTTTCAATTACATTTAAAAGCTAGTTAGAAAGATAGGCATTCTTCGTTTCTATCATTAAAGAATCAAGGCAGCATTTTTAAAAAGAAATTTTATTACATACGACACTAAAATTAATGATTTTTTCAGAAATTTATAGTATACAGTGTATGTATATTTTAAAAATTGTTATTGTGCACAATTCATTTACCAGTATTCCAAAACTGAAACCAGTTCTTCATTCTAATTCTTTTAATTCAAAATCATGAAATTGTTATATATAAAACTGATGTTACAACTTCCTCAGGCAAAGTAGACCTTAGTTGATTTTTGCTGTTCTGTTTAAGCCATCTGGAATGTTATCCTCTTGAACAATTTAAATTATGGTGTCAGCCTACAGTACCTGATGAATATTATTAAAGAAACATGTACTGTGCACCTAGAAATAACATCTTACAGTTTTTAATATTCAAATGAATTACCTATACATTCCAATAATGTGACTTGTCTTGCAATAGTTCTCTGTACCAGGAAAGGTAATCCTGATCCGCTGCCTGATGTACAAGAGTCGTCCAATATTTCCTAAAAAATAACAAAATACAAGTCAATTCAACCTTTCATAATCTAATGCATTACGGATAATATTTTTAATCATTCCACAAATCTGGGTGCATTATAAGTGGTACCTTAAGCCAAAGATATTCAACTAGTGTATGTATAATGCACATTAAATAGTGTGCCAGTTATCTAACATGAAATGTAATAATAATTTGAGCTAATTGGGTCAATATCCCTAATACGCCTCAGAGTGAGGTACTCAACTATTAACAGAAATAAAAAAACCTGTATGTTTGTACAGAACTGAATTTCCAGAGAATTTAACTGTGTGAAAATAAAGACACTTGCTTATCACTTGGGGCCTTTCGAGGTTGCCCAATTTGTAAAATATTTAATCTCATTTTGTACCCTCAAAATTTGACCATATGTGTGAAAATGTCTCAGCTTCGAAACGAGCCATTATATATATATCCAAGTTTAAGATATGGACAGAGGAATGAAAGAAAAGGCTACCATTGTCGCCTATGGGAAATGAATTGCACATCTTGACCCAATTAATTCATAGCTATAGAAAATTTATTTTTATGCATGCCATTTGTTAAATTAAAAAAATAAAAACATTTTACTGCAAAAAAGTACATAAAATTTCATAGCAGTTGATATATGTTCTTTAGCAAATCTCCAATATTTAACCTCTGAGACAAGATTTTCTTCTTTGCAGGCTTGAAATTTGATATCTATAATGAAATGACCAAATATTACACTTGTAATTCATAATTTCACATTTATTTGGTGTCAAAACTACACTCATTCATGTGAGAATATATATTGCACATGAGAAATCAACTGTAAATAATTTTGTTAAGACGAAATCCCAAAATTATATAAAACGATATCTCTGATTGATAGATTCATGACTTTTTTTTTTAAACAACTCGCAGCAAATATTACATCAATAATCTGGACAAATTATATGCATTATGACAAAAACCAAACATTTTTTCAGATCAATGTGGTAGCTCACATGGTAACAGTACAAGGGAAGATATTTTTCCCTACAGGTACAAATTATTCTAACATCAAGCTGAGCAATGTTCAATCTTGCAACTACTTGATGAAGAGGCAGTAATTTCAAATACCTAACATATTGGTTTGACCTTGTCATTGGTCAAATCAGTGACACCAACACTTGGACTTGCGGTCATAAACATTTCAAGCACGATTGTCGTACTCAGACTCCAAATTCAACCAATCAAAATACTGGATTTGGTGTTTCTAGCACAATTGTTGTACTCTGAGTACTGAGTAAAGTATTATGACCGAGGGCCCTGGAAATTACATCACCAAGGGACTAAAATGCCAGTTCACCATACAAGAGCTGTCAAAGTATAAAACCATACCTTTAGCGTACTATCTCCAACTTGCGTAGCTCTGATGCCATATTCCTCTGGTAGAAGTTCTTCTCTCACCCGTAAGTTCTCCTGACTTTCCTGCCGATTCTTTCTCAGACTTCTAAAGAAATACCAAGCTATGGCAAGGGAGAGAACTAGTACTATCACAGGAACAATTATTGCTAATACAACCATGTAGTTAAATACCTGCTCTTCTTTGGCAACTGAAAATAAAAGAAATGTTATTACAAACACAGCAAAATCCTGTTATGAATTTAGAAATGTTTGTGTGCATTGATTATTGCCATAATTGTTCAACAATGTATAAAATTTATTAATTATTGTGATTTCAGGAAACATGAGAAATTCTACATACAAATAATGCTATCATTATTTAATATGGAATTTTTTATTTTTGCAAAATCTTTTCCATCCCAATTTTCAAAATAATAATAACATTCCACAAATTTATGGACTGGACTAACAGTACCAAGGATATTAATTTAGATTTTTGGGGGATATTAAAAGAATTATTCATCAAAGAAAGAAATTACACACAATGTGGTATGGTCACTCTTTTGTGATTTTTCAGAGTGATTGTTAGAGATTATTGGTGATTCATATTTCAGTGAATCACCAATAATCAACAGGATTCACTAAGAAAATTCACCTCCAAGAGTTATTTTAAACTGAATCACCATGTCTGTACTGTTTTTGTAAATTTTATTCACAATTTTATTCAAAAGAATTACCTGGTTTATCATGTCGAACAGGTACAACAGGTGGTATTATATCTTTGTTACACATTTCTTTTATACAGCACTCCATGGCAACATGCTGTGAACCCCAATTGTCATCCCTACGACCCTGGCAGTTCATCATCTGTTTCTCCTCATCATACCCACAGCCTCGTCTTACTATCAGAACATCGTTGGAATAGTCAGCCATTACAAAACACTACAATATGTACAAAAAGAAATTATTGTCTTTCAATTATAGAAGGTAAACATGCAAAAATGTAAAATTTGGTGAATGCAAATTGGTACTGTGAGTTATCCTACAGATGAAAAATTGCCTGGTTTATTATTAGTTGAATTCCCTTAAACCATTGTCATGATTGTGGACATTTGTTTTAAAGTGAAACATATAGATATATTGTTACTTGACATATCTTGCAACATGAGAAAAACTGTGTTCAGAACAAGCAAATTCTAACTATAGTCTTCTTCACTTACCAAAAAAATCTAATAAACGTTTCATTAATATTCTCCTGCAGAACATATGTGTTAAATATTTGCACATTCTTCATTTGCCTTTTTCCAATTACCACAACATTTTTTATAGATTCAAATTAATTTGGACCAGGAAAACAACAGAGGTCAGACCTAGAACATTCTCCATGTGGCCTTTTACACTTACCCTAACCAGGCTAGTACTAACTTTCAACACTTACCCCAACATTGATCAAAGATTTACAGTAATCTTGTCCTAGAAGACATTAAAGTTCAGTATATGGATATTCTCCCTGTGACTTTCTACACTTACCCCAAAATTGATCAAACATTTACAGTAATCTTATCCTAGAAGAAATTAAAGTTCAGTATATGGACATTCTTCCTGTGACTTTCTACACTTACCCCAACATTGATTAAAAGATTTACAGTAATCTTGTCCTAGAAGACATTAATGTTCGGTATATGGACATTCTCCCTGTGACTTTCTAAACTTACCCAAACATTGCGCAAAGATTTACAGCAATTTTGTCCAAGCAGACAATAAATTCTGTATATTGATACTCTACCTGTGACTTTCAACACTTACCCCAACATTGAACAAAGATTTGCAGTAATATTGTCCTAGAAGACATTAAAGTTCAGTATATGGACATTCTCCCTGTGACTTTCTATACTTATCCCAAAATTGATTTAATGTCTACAGTAATTTTGTACTAGAAAACATTAGTGTTCAGTGTATGGACATTCTCCCTGTGACTTTCTAAACTTACCCAAACATTGCGCAAAGATTTACAGCAATTTTGTCCAAGTAGACAATAAATTCTGTATATATTGATATTCTCCCTGTGACTTTCAACACTTACCCCAACATTGATTTAATGTCTACAGTAATTTTGTACTAGAAAACATTAGTGTTCAGTATATGGACATTCTCTCTGTGACTTTCTACACTTACCCCAACATCAATTGAAGATTCACAGTAGTTTTGTCCTACTGGACAATAGTGATCTGTACAAGCACATTTGAACCTGGTCATCCTTCTTCTGGCTTCCTCTACAAGTGTGGAGTTAGGTGGTCTAAACCCTGAAAAATATAAACAAACTATTTGGAATATTGGAGTATTCCAACAAAAATAATCTATTCTGTTATTATTTTTGTAGTTACAGCCTACAAAAGTTTATTAAGTCAAAAAATACTTTTGCTGGTGTTGTGAGCTCACAGTGATGGCTGGTGATTGGAGGTGATTACACTCAGGTTTACAATCCTATCCCATCTATATTATGTTTTTTTATAATAATATATGCTGTGAATTCAATTATTTCCATAGGTTCCATTTTTCATGGATTAACACATTGTAACAAAAAGTTTATTTGATTTCCTTGTTTTGCTAAAGTCTATATATATTAAGCCTATAGACAATTTGTTCTTCATAGAACATTTAAATTAGTTCACCTAAACCCATGTAATCCAAGAAAATTGCTATCTAACGAATAATAATGAATCCACAGTCACTTGCTCAACTGTGAAAAGTTAGCATCAAAAATAATTTTCATGTGTACTGTATCAGCTCTGGACAAATAAAAAAATTGATATGTTTATTAATGGCAATCTGAGGTGGAAAATATAACCAAAACTTGTGGTCATAATCCGGAAATGAAAGTGCAAATTGTGATGTAGTCATTTTTAACCTTTACACAGAAAATTAAAACAAATCACAATAGTACCTGTTAGTGGTATATACAATGTTATTGTACATATTTACTCTAAAAATAACAAAATAGTATCAACAGATGGCAAATTATCAACTCTTTTATGCCTGTACCAAGCCAGGCTATCTGGACCATGTGTTGTTCTTATATCCTGTATATACTGTGGATGCATTTTTTTTCGTGGGTACCAATTTTTGTGGATTATTGATTTTGGTGGTTCATTTGCCAAAGTCTGCATACAAACCTATCGAAAATTTGTACTGTGTAGAACATTCAAATTCGTGGTCTAACATTACCTACATAATCCACGAAAAAAATGGTAATCGTATCCCACGAATAATAATGAATCCACAGTATGCAGTCTTTGGACACGTTGAAAAAAGCCTGAATAGGGAACCCATGAATAATAATAATTCAACACCATTACAAGATAAATCAAAAGCCTTAGTCAATTTGTACCGCTAACCACCTCAGACATCACTATTGGATTTATTTATATAAAAAAATATGTTGGTATATTATGTAATATTATAAAATCAAATTCAACTTTTCTCCACGCACATATACCATGTTGAATACCATAACTATTCATGGTTGTAGTTCAAAGCAACTGAATAAAAAAATCACAATCTATAACAATCTCTAATGATATGCATAGCTCCCTCCATTGATAAATTATAAAATCTTCCTTCATTCTGGACGGTTTTAAATATCAATACAACTTTATTTTACCATCTTTTACTGCATCTACCAGTTAATTTAATCTTCTTTTAAATAACTAAACAAATTACTACAACAATAGGTAAACAAATTTCTTTTGTGAATCTTATGTCATCAAAATGTTTGTTTAAACACAAATTATAGGGTTGGATTGTACGAAGTATATAGAGTTACACGTTACAGTCAATACTAAACACTTGCAAATTTTGTCCTGATCTAAAATTAATAGGATTTTTGTGATCATGGTGGTAGCTATGTTTTATTTGCAACAATGGCCGTTGACAATATTTCAATTCTAATTTTTTTTTGGCTTCTTACAACATTAACTTTTTTCTTTTTAATTAATTAACATAAGATAATAAAACCTTATTTTGGTTGGGGAAAAAAAACCCTAATAAAAAACAAGCTTTTTTCAGAATACATGTATAAATATATTTTTTTAAATATTCTCTAAAAACAAGAAGAAGAGATGAGAGATCAACAAAACCAAAAGACTAAGACAAAAATGTTTGGGATTTTACAATAATACCCATATAACTGAAATTCTTCTGAAAGCACAGGCTATAGTTTTAAGAATGCTAAACTACAATCATAAAATTCACCAAAATCTGTATACATTTAGCTACGAACAGAGGGTATTGGCATGGAAGGAAGTTACATGTTTAAGGGTATGTTATTACATACAATTTTTCTTATATTTTGAAATTTAAGAGTTCGTTATTGAGAATAAATACAGTTTAAAGTTTCAATTTTTGAATGATCAAAATCTTTAAAATTTGAAGATCAACTGATCCCTTATGCAGCAACATTAAAATACTTGAAAATTTCAATGTAATGCAAACAATATCAGTGACAGACCTATAGTTGTTAATTTCTGTGTCATTTGGTCTCTTGTGGAGAGTTGTCTCATTGGCAATCATACCACATCTTATTTCTTATAAATATTTATAATTCTGTTTTAAGTCTCCCTACTAACCATTAGTATTGCTTAATGTCTTTTCAATGAGCTATTTATCCTAAGACATTTAATGAACATTTTTGGTTATCATAAATATATAAGCACATTACATTTACCTATATCATGCATACCATGTATACATATGGTCTATGTAAAATATTTTTCAAAAATATTTTTTTTTTACCCAACTGCCTACATTTATGGCCATTAGCAACCAGCGGCTCTTTTCACAAAAAATCTGAAGAGTCATACACATTTCAGTATAACTTACGATCAATTTTAATCGTAAGATTTTTTGTGAAAAGAGCCGCTGTCCTATATTTTTTTGTAACAAATATATATTCTTTTATAACATAGGAAACATGTTTTCCTGAACTACTGTATCACCATAGATTTAACATACAATGTACCCTAAAGTGGGTATAAAGTATATTTTTATAACTACTCACCTTCTTAGCAAAGCTATAAAATTTCATTTGAAATTTCTTTCAAAAATTATCTGCTTTCCAAATGTGTCAGAAATAATAAGTATCTTAATGTCAACAAATAAAAAATGTCCATACATTGACCTTTTTTTTTTAAGTCATTGAACACACTCTTAACCATAACCATGTTAGCTTCTAGTTCTTTTGGCTAGTGGTAGGCTAAGTTTAATCAATCCAAAAGTTATTTTTAATTACTGTAATATTGTACAGAAAGGGGTTACATACTTAAAAAAGTATTTTTTTTATATACAAAAGTATTTGAAGGTTTAACAGATATACATGTACACTTGAATATGAAAATTTGTCAAATTTAAGTTTTCTTTTCAAGGTTTTAAATATCTGCTGTAATGCTCCTCCAGAAAACTACTTATACGAGTAATTTTTCTACAAACCATGCTTCAAACTCTTGTTTTTTTTCTGGCTTGCTTACTATTTTTTTAATTCAAGTTCAACATTTTCTCTCAAAATCTAAACAAGGCATCTACTGTGCACAGATGTCAAGTACTGTAAATTCAGAAATTATTGCGGGGTTTTTATTACTGCAAATAATGCAACTGGGCTAGAATCGTAATAATAAGAGCTTGCATTCTGATATCTGATACAAATATCTGTATACAGACTTTCCAGAAATCGCAATAATTAATCTCGCATTGTTGTTCATTCTTCAAAAATCTCAATAATAAATGCACACAGTAATTTCTGAATTTACAGTATATGTGTAATGCCTTCCAATAAATGCTCTCTGCAGGCTTGTAAATAGACAGTACTTACTAGGGGGTGTTTAAAGACCTTGACTACCCATGAGGGTCTCACACAGTTGGCAAATAGACAGCATTTTGAAAATACCACATAAATGAGATTATCAAAGACAACTTTTAAAGAGGAACAATTTAACTGTTACTCTTTATAATTATTATAGTAAATGGGCTATATATTCAGTATTGGAAGTTGGAGATTTGATAATTTTAAGACATATTCAAGAACATTTTTGGCCGATTTTCATGAGTTTAGGTGCATTCTATACAAATGTTCACCTATTTTGAAAGAATTCAATCAGTAAAGACTTCGAAAAATAAAAGAGATAAATTCGTTATTTTTTCGATTTTCAGTTGAAGAACAACTAGCCATAGTTGTATGCAAAATTTTACCAAATATGTGAAATAGCTCATTTACTGTTCCTTGACCTAATGAGCTATTTAATTAAGAGAAATTCAAGAAACAAAGAAAATATGAATTTCTTACCTTTAGAAGTAAAACATATCTGAACAATTAAAGGAGATAAGAATATAAATGTACCTCCAAAATTATTTACCCATGCAATTAGTAAATAAAAATTTCTTGTATAATTATTACCAGGGTCTCAATGGATTGTCATCTTAAAACAGTCATTTTGAAGGATATGGAGGAACTTAACACTGGTGAATTCCAAAGGAGAAAAGAGTTTATCCAAACATGACTCATGCAAGTGACATATACATTTTACTAGTCCACTAGATGTAGTCTGAATCTAAATGCACTAGTTATTGGGCTAGTAAATAATGGCAAAAAATGATATGAACCTGTAATAAACTTGAAAATTTTATTTCAATGCAAGTTATTTCTTTAAAAACGAAAGTTATATAAAGCACCATGCAGATATAAGAATATCTGAAAAGCAGATCTGCGACCAGTTATCAATATTAGAGACAGTATACAATCATTTTCAGAATTTTACCCAAGTTGGATTACAAGTTTGTCAGAACTTTAAATGTACCACAATTACACAAATAAAAGGAGAATAAGCTAGAGCAGTAATTACTTTTCATAGCTCTGCATTGCAGCAACCAAGTACAACTGTTCTTGAATGAATAATTCAACTTTTAACTTAATATTCTGTAGCTCTTATGGCTTTTTCCCACACTGTCTTTGCATTTAAAATAAATAATTCTTACCTTTTACTTAAACCTACATGTAGATCTCAAAAGAACTCTTGGTAAAATATAATAGTTTTTTTTTTTCATTATATCATTCAAACAGTTTAATTTCTTCTCAAACTTCACATGAAAAATCGAGAGAAATCTTTTCCCCACCAAAATTTTTATTATTTCAGATTCTAAGATCTCAAGAACATTTAAGCATATTTAAGAAACTTATCATCCTTTTTCCATAATTTTGATGTACAAAATAAATGTCATGAAAGCATCATATACTCTATCCTCTTTTTAAAAAGAT